CTACTACCCACCCCGTTTAAAATTAATTTCAAATTTAAGTTTTTATCAAACAAAAATATTAAATTTATCATCAATTTTAAAGAGAACATAAGTTGTTTTTAACAAATTGGTAAAAAAGTAATAATATTTGCTTACTAAAGACATTAAAAAAATATAAAATAAATAAAAAGAAAAAAATAAATTGGATGATAAATAGGGGGCCTACCCTGTCCTGTCCCCATCCCATTTTAATTGGGTATGGGGAAAGATAACAAGAATACTCGACGAGACGGGGTGGGAATGACGACCCATCCCATATCTATCATGTTGTCATCCCTAAGATGAGACCTGTGAATGCTCGTTAGTTATCACACATGCAATTGGAGCGTATTTTTAAATAGAATATCCAGAGAAAGGACATAGAAATCATAAGAGTTGAGGTCAAAAAATAATTTTGAATACATATCAAATTTGAATATAAACTTTTGCCTTATTATAACCCAAAAATTTTGTAAAAATTAACAAGTCAAAATGATTGCCTTTAATTATCATTCTAACAAAAAGAAATAACAGTAATACTACAAATACAGTAATTTTGACATCATGGTTAACAACCCTCTCACATACAAGAGGCGTGAGGCCCCAAGATTGCGAAAGTGATGTACGTGTACAATACTGTACACGGTATTTTTCAAGAAATAAACACTGACTTAAATCATATGATTATTAGTGAATGATAATTATACCACCGCAACCATACTTTTCATTATCATTGTATCACAAATTCTTCCCTATTAATATGGGGCTTTGGCTCTCAATATAATACATACAAGTCTATTGACTTCTTTTATTTTCCGTTCTTTCTCTCTACTTTATAATACGCTATCAGCACGAAATTCTAATCAATTGAATTAACAAAATTTATTTCTCTTTCTTCTTTCAAATGTTTAGCCAATTAAGGTAGATTTTTTTTTTCCTTCAATCAAAGAAAGACAATAAGTTTTAGCAATTTGAGTTTACAAAGAAACTCTTTTAATCTGCTCAAGAAAAAAGCTAGCACTATCTTAACTTTGAATTGTATAATAAAGAGGTGTAGTTATTCGTCCTGATTATATCGATTCGACTATACAAATTTATGATAAATAAATATGTATCATTACGATAAAAATGTGACTTTGCGACAATATATTTTGAGATATACAAAAAGTTGTTGCAATAAGTAATTTAACACAACACATTTTTTAAGTTTTATTGCAAAGATTGATACAAAAAAATAAGCACCAAAAAATATAAGGCGATTTTAAAAGTTGTGAAATTTGAGAAGGCGGGACAAATAATAAAGATTGTCGTCAAAAATATTAGAGAAGCAAGGCCCCTAAATATTTGTGGTGGAAAACTTATGGTGACAAACTTTTAATTTTTTATAACAAAATGTGTGTGATGTAATAGAGTCTAATTTTTGCGACAAAAAACATTTATTCCTAAAAATTCTATGGGTGGTAGAAAAAAATACTACAAGAAAAATTGTTTTTTTATAATGGACAAAAGACGTTGCCATATGTATTTCACAATGCTCACCTGTATGATGTAGGCTTTTGTTGTCATATAGTAGAAGAATATGTACAATGCACATTGCAAAAGGCATCAAATGCACATTGTTGTTAAGTTTTTGCGACACTCTTTGCTAGTTGTCTTAACTTTATTTTTGTAACATTATTTTATTTCTTGCAATAAGTATTTGTTTTTTCTTCTGGTAAAGATGATATTTTAATATGTAATATATGTTTTAACATTTTTTATTAATTCTTTTCAGGAGGAAAATTATTTAATAAAAGCTTTGTAAAGCGACTATTTGAACCTTATTTTTTGCTAAGAATGCATTTTAAAATAGTAGATTGATGAAAATATGTAGTTAAAAAAATTGAAAATTTTTGCATTTGCATGTGATATTATGTTATTAAAAAATATGTAGTTGAAAAGGAAAAAAGCAAAATGTATTTTGAAAATAATGAGAATTAAAAGATGACAAAATGTCTAGAAAAAAATTATCTCCAACAAAAATTAAAAAAGTTGTTAGATAGTAAAACCTTCAATCACTTAAAAACTAACAAAAAGAACTACTAGACCAAAAGTTCATTAACTGTTGCAAAAAGTTTAACATATTTCGCCTTTTTTGCAACATTCATTTCAAAAAATGTTGTTCATTTAGTGTTACAAAAAAGTTCTCTATCGCAATATTAGTTGCATGTTGTAAAATTTTCTAGTCAATTTTATTTCACAAATCGCAACCCGTCCTAATTAATAAAAACAACAGCATCTCAATTATGGCAAGAATGATATGCTCTTAGCTGTCTTCCTCTTCCACCTAGTTCCCTTTCTTACAATGGTAGCGACAAGGATTGGATGGCACTTTTTGAACTTGGTTGTTGTAGGGGGTGCGAAGGCTTCTACAGCGATGACAGGGGTGTGGGGCTTAATTTGTAGTGGCAGTGAGGACTTGGCCGATTTATTTTGTACTGGACGGATCATAAGCAACATAAAATCCTTCACCCGATTTATTCTGTTTCAGCCTGAAAACATATCGAACTAGCTTATGAAAAGACCACGAGAATTTGAAGTTTTATTGTTCGAAATTTATGGCAACGATTGAAGGTGGTGATCGGATAAATGCGACATCGAGAGTGTTCTTGAAGATATGGTAGAATCAAGTTGTTTTTCAAATGCTTTCCTCTCTAAGGAATCATACAATAAGCTTTTACAACCCCAAATCGGTGGCCGATTATTAATATCTGATTGATGACCCAATCCTCTATACCTATACACTTAGAAATAATGGTACTTGGATTTGGACTGCAGAAATGGAGCCATCTTGTAGGCGTTACACAATTGGTTTGTTTTGAAACTTCTCAAGCCAGAGCTGCAAAAGATTTACAAATGAAAATTGATTGCTACATTAATCCACCAAAAATCAACAACGATACATGATCAAAAGATGAAAACAAGCTCCTATTGCATTCATTTTTTCTCTAACATTTCAGGAGGCATATCAACATTTTTCAATATTCTCATTGCATTCACTCTTTTCTCCAACATTTTTTGGATTTGACATTCTATGTTCTGACTTTATGACTTGAATTAAGGGTCCATTTTATTGCAAAAATGAAATTTGAGAGGAAAGAAATCGAATTTTAGAGAATTGAATTGTCTAGAAATTGTTTTCCTAAGAATTGAAAATTATTGTGTTTGAACAGTATAATTTTTCACGTGAAAAATGTTGAAATAAAAGTATTTTTGGTGTTCGTTTGACTTTGTTTTACATGAAAATTGTCAATTAAAGGGATGAAATTTGCTGGTATTGGGGATGAAATTTGTTTCCATTGTCAAAACAAAAAAAAATTCAAGAAAATCATTTATCATTTGGTCTTCGTAAATCAATTCGCACCATATTGGTGGGAATTGATTTTCCCACAAAAGCTAGAAAATTACAACTCCCAAGAAGTCCAAGAATTTAATTTCCATGGAAAATAAAACACCATCAAACACACAAAAGTTGGAAATTGGCATTTTAATCCCATTTTCCCTAGAAAATTGGTGCCTATCAAACGGTGCCTAATTGAAAAATGAGCAGAATGTGATGATAGTCAAAAATGATAAATTCATAGAAATATGTGATTCGTAAATTTATTCATGTGTCTTAATACATGTTCATTAATCATCTTTATAATTTCAACTTGTTTTTGTAGCAGTTTTGCTTTAGTTCATAACTCTTTCTCGAGGACATTAGGTGAAACACGTTTTGAATGGTGGTTATTGTGAATGAGATGAGTATAACAAAGTTATTGGGATGCTTTCAATAGAATTTTAAAGTAATCGTGCTATTCCATAGCCTTTTTAAATTTCTTGATTTTTGAACTGAAAATATATTCAATTCCCGAACACACCACAAATTTTCCTGTGCCTATAATCTACGTACGTATTTTTCCAAACATAATTTTCAAAGTTATATCTCTTGCTAACTGAATCTAGCTCTATTAGATAGTTAATCATAATTTTGTGGAAAAGTAAATTTTAAGCATAGCCAAACATGCTTTATCTTTATTTTGTTTTACCTTGTGAAAAACAATGTTTTGATTTTGATTATTTGGTGTTTAAGGTCATGGATAATGAGTTTTTGCTTTTCTACAGGTATGGCAATTGATGATTCCAAAAGACGAGGTTTTGTTGGTTTTAAAGAGTTTATCACATCAATATAGATTGATATCTTCCTTTGATTGGTGTTCTACAATAATGATTATTGTTTTCACATTTGATCTATCTTAGCATTATAACGTGTAGTTGGTCTCCTTGGCACAAGCTGGGCATGCTATCACCGGTGATGTTATAAATGCTGAAGGAAATAGGAGAAGTGTCACGTTATTTTGGCTCACGAATATTGTGCTTGGAGTCACATTAGTTCAAGAAGGATCTTGATCTTCCTGCTTAGATTCTTAAGTGTGTATTTGTTTTAGAAGGTGATATTACTGTGGTTTAAATATCTTAATCATCTCCAGTTGACTTGGAACACTTACAAACTCCAGCTATGGAAGGTATGGATGTTCTCTTCATTCAAAATTTCAGTACAATATTTCAGAATAATATTGTATTATTGTTCTTAAAAAAGAAACAATCTAAATCAATATTCCAAAAGAATCTTGTATTATCATTTTTGAAAAGAAATAATCAAAATCAATATTTCAGAAGAATATTATAGCATTACTTGAAAATGGATATGATATTTGTATGATTTTGTTGCTCCTGAAGAAGCA